TCCTCGGGGGTACTAGCACAGCCCATGAATGAGCTTGAAGCTGTTGTAGGCGGGCTCCTGTGGGATCTGGATCTAGCCCTGGGCCTGTGTCGATGTTGGCACACTGGTGGACGGGCACCTGGCGGTACCCTGTGTGAGGAATGCCAGTGAGATTCGTTGCTGGAGCGGAGCGGAGCTGTTCTTCCCTCCAACGCTGTCGCTACAATGGGGGAGATCTTCGGTAAGGCAAGGCCCGTGCTCGCGCATCAAGGCGTCGCAATGGCGATATTCTAGGCATCGTTCTGGGCCGTTTTTGAGTGTCAGGTTGCGTTGGTCTAGCCCCCACGGCTCGTAATTTTTCATCGGCATGTCTTGCGTGAGATAAGGCATGAGTGGGCTTGCTCCGTACCCGGCACCGAAGATCGAATCATGTTGCCTTGTGTCGGAACTACACTCTGGTTTGTCAACTTGCCCAAACGCAGAGCGAGAACAGCCCGACTTGATGCACAGGCTACCTGCTTTAGGGCTGGTATCGGCCCTCTCTGGAATATGGGCAGCCATGGCATGTCCGAGAAGACGGCGCCATTGCTGCGTCCATAAGCGCCACGGGACGCTTGCATGGCAATTGCCGTGCGCATTCTCCAATCTCGATGTCTCCGTCTTGTCATCTCTTCTGCGGTATGTGAGGTATCTCTCTCCCATCCAAGCCATGCTCCATCCGGCGGCCAATCGACAAGCCCGTCGAGCGGCTCGAATTATGTAAGTCGCCAGGAGCACCTGTAGCCAACCAATGAACGGTCCAGTATGTGGATAGGACACGTACCGAAGAGCACACGGCCTGGGACGGATGAGGCCCTGGCCGAATTCATTGATCATGACCATTATGACCAAGGACGGAGCTTGGTTCACATTGTGTCCAGTGACCGTTGACGTTGACATTGACGTTGGTTGACGTTGACGTTTGGTCGCCGCTTTGATTTTTTTTTTCCCTTTGGTCACATACAGTAGGTAGGTCGGCCGGTCCCTTGGTCCGTTCCTTTCCCCAACTCTCCAACACAGAACCCTGGATGATCCGATTGGGTTCTCATGATTTGGCGGCACCGTCCGAGAAGAGAAAAGATCCATTTTGCATTTGCAATTGCACAATAGCGCTATTCCCCTTTTAGGGATACGCCATCCCTATTCTGCACGATGACAAAAAACTGATGGAAGTGGCCAGCTGTCAGAGAAATGGCCTGGCAGCCCGTCACCAGATGCCTCCCCGACTTTTTTTTAATCATGCACCGATACCACAACAAGCCCCTGGTCCCTCCCGTCCCTCTATGGACAGACTCGGTAACACGGGCAGTGACACACAATCCGCATTCCATCCCTCAGACCACCTACTATCGGTTAGTCACCTAGCTCCTCTTCGCACCTAGTTTACTTGTTTACCCAGGCGTCTGCTGTCGCCGAATCAGGATCTTTTTTTTTCTCCTTCGCCCGCACTCAGACTCTCCTATCTCCTCCTCTTTCCGTGCTGAGACTCTGTGCTCTCCTCAACTGCTCGGTCGACAACACTGCGTTGAGCCGAGACGGTTTCGACATGGAGGGAGAGCCCTTATTGATTGAAAACTTATGGGTGGCAGGACATGGGAGAAAGTATTGACAAAGCTGGAACAAGAGACGGTGTTGTTTGGCCCAACCCAAATAAACCCACCAGAAACGGCGTCTACGTCCCTGTCCACGTACACAACCAGACCCTATGACCCTGGCTTTCGAACCTCGTTTGTTTTCCGTCATCGTGCCGCGCGCCACCGGGGATACGGCCTCAAAGACATTGGAAACATACCCAGAGCGAAAGAGGGACAATCACAGTACAGCACACGCTGTGAAGAGAAAATGGGCACGAGTACCGCCTTGCGTACATGGACAATATTGACACCCAATCGCCCTCCACGCCCATTCTGTCGGCCTGAACACCAAAGTACATTGTCATATCCTGCCCTCTTGACCCGACCACCATCTTCCACACCCCCGGCATGATCGCCGGTCCGCCCCCCCCCCCCAAACCGGTCACGTTCCACTGGTCGCCCACCCCGGTCAGCTGAACACGGTCCTTCCGGGACGATGGATAGAGGGATGATGTAGCAAAGTCATCTCGGTGTAGTACTGCCGTCCAGCCGTCGCGTCTGCTTCCGTCACTCGACCGGACTCGCCTGGACGACGTACTGATGCTGCCGTTTCCAGCAGTACAGGCCCCGATGCACGGCGATTCCACCTTAACCAATCCTTCCGTTCTCCGCGAAATACCCGAAGACAGAGACACCAATGGAGGTCTACTCTGGACTGGCTTGTCCACCTCTGCCTCTGGGACACGTCCGCAACACCCAAAAAGGCGGAGAGGCAACAAAACCATCGTGTCGACCTCGCATCGCATCCGCATCGCACCGTGGCCACGCATAGCGCAGGCTACACTGCATCCCGAGGGACACGCACTACAGGCTCGCAGATTCTGCACCGGTGCGCGCCGCCACATTTCTGTGTGTACATGCAGAGTCTGTGCCTTGTGCGACTCGCACTCGCCATACTGGCCTAAAATCGATTCAGTGTATGCAGCTTAGCCCGGTACTCGAGCCTCGACCTGTCAGTCTACAAATGATGGACTCGGGGGTTCTGTACGTTAGAAGAAGAAGAATATGTCACCTCCCGAGCGTGTCGATCGTTCTTCTGTCTGTGCTCAGGCATAAAAATGACGTTTTTTTTTTCTTCGTGTGTGGAAGAATCAGAAATTGTAAATAATATCATCTAAAATAATACAAATAATAAAAGTAAGATATCATGACCCCGTCAGCTAGACAGGCGGTATTTCCTAAGACGAGATGCTGGGGCAGCAAGACCAGCCGTCAAAGACAATGCCCGAGCTCTCGACGTTATCCGAATGCGCTTGACTGAGTTCGTCGGTTGGGCATCTCTCGATATGGACCTGCATGTGCCGCGCCTCGTTCGCCGGAGCAGTACGATATGGCTTGCTCATCTTATCTATGCTGCCTTTACTACATGGTCATGGGTGCTCAGGTACAACAGACAGACAAACAGAGACAGACAGTATCGCCGAGCACGTAGGGTCGAATCCTGCTGCAGCCAGAGGCCAAGAGCGACTCGGGGACGGCGGGCAAGTGTGCCTGGCCCCGCCGAAAGCGCTTGGTGTGATGTCTCAACTGTTGCATCTCGTACCTTTTTGCTGATGGAGAGCAGTTGAACCTTTTGCGATCGAGGCCCTTGTTCTCACCATGCCTCATCCGTCTGTCCAGCAGCGCCCGATTCCAGCAGCGGCACATACCCTGGCATCATCCTAGCATCAGATCAGAGAATCCTGTCCCGCTGGGTCCATGGCGTTGCTTGGCTTGGGTTGTGGCTTGAGCTGGGGCCGCTACAAGGACCAGGGACAGGGCCAGTAGCAGAAAGAGAACAAGGATCCTCATTGGCATCAGGACCGGGACCGGGATAGGGATAGGCGAAAGAGACTGGGGTGGGAACGGAGAGAGAGAGAGAGAGAGACACACACACACACACACATACAGGGGTCGAGTGGTGTGTCTCTAGAGGGAATGGCCGTAAGGGCAAGCCCGGTCGGTCGAAAGAGTGTTTCCCATCGCCTGAGTCTAGCTGCGGTTCAGGAATCGGATGAGGCCCCCGCCTACTTTGGACCACTGCAACATTTTTTACGCTGCGATGGTTCTTTTGGAGGTCAACGTTGCGGTGGGATGGTGGTTTTCTGGTCGCTAGTTGCTTGTCGCTATCGAGAGGATATATGTATGGTAGAGATACGAAAACAGCGAACTGAGGAGGGAAAGGGAGCAAATGACGCAGATCGTGTGAGGGTATGTAGGTAAGAGAGACGGGTACCTCATCGTGTCGCTGGGATACGTACTGCTGCGGGTCCCGTTCCGTACCGCGGTGTGAGGATCAGTGAGGTGATCTCTGACCCAATCCACTGATTCCACTTCACTTCAGCGCTGAACCTGGAGCTGGGGCTGGAGCTGGCGGGGAACAGGTGTGAGCCGGGCCTAGGCCTAGGTCTGGGCCAGCTCTCTCCAGTGTCATCGCTGGCTTTCTCTTTCCCATCGTCTCTTGGAGTCTTGCCCAAAAACGACGGATACAGTTCGACTTGAACAAGGGTTCTCAGCTAGTGACACCCCTCTCCAGATCCCAACTTGAGGTATTGCTCCTATCCTCATCGGTGATGAGGTACTGCCTGTTGATCGAGCTACGTGCGATGGAGGCTCACCCCCCCCCGCGGCCTTCCCTCCTTAACTAGAGAGGTGTCTTGTCCTATTCCAGCTCCATCGGATCGTGCTTTTTGGGCATTGGAGCTACATACGCTACCAGGTACGCTGCCGCTGCCGCCGATGCTGTCTGTAGATGCCTTGACTTGGGCTTGATCGGGTTAGATGGGTGTGTGCCGGGGGATTTTCAAGAACCGTCGCTCCACTTGCCATCATCACCCTTTGCTTGTCTCTGCTTTCTCGCTTTTTCTCTCTGCTCTGATCTCTCTGATCTACGTATCCGTGCTGGGGGTGTCGGGTTTCTTTCACCCTTCTTCTTTTTTTCCCACCCTCTGCCAGGCTCACTTCAAACCTTAACCTTTCTTATTCTTCCGTCGTTCCCCCATGCCCTCCAATTTTATTTTGGATTCGCATACACCTTACTTCGTCCTGAGCGCACAGCCTCTTCAACCTTCACACTTCTGCTTTTGCATGTTGTCTCTCCACCACGCTGCTTCCACCTGCTCAACAAACATATATACAGCAGACATCCCACGCTCATCCAAGACCTCATTCAGCCTCTTCACTCTCCATCACCTATCAACTACTCACTCAATCAATCTGCTGTTCTATCTCTTTATAACCCACATACACCACATCCCACAAGCATATACCCGTACATATACCATCAGCACTCGTCCCTTTGACGTCGCCAACCACAACTCTCCTCCAACGACTTTCATCTCTAGCCTCCAACTCGCAATCATCATCGTCATGGCTTCCCAACGGAGAGGGCCATGGTCGCAACAGGAGGACGCCTACCTGATGCAGCTCGTCAACGACCAGGGCCCCTTGAACTGGGTTCGGATTGCCCAAGCCCTGGGAACGAGGACGCCGAAGCAGTGCAGAGAACGATTCCACCAGAACCTCAAGCCCACACTAAACCACGAGCCCATCACGCCCGAAGAAGGCGCCCAAATCGAAATCCTCGTCAACGAGATTGGCAAGAGGTGGGCAGAGATTGCAAGACGTCTGCATGGCCGCAGTGACAACGCCGTCAAGAACTGGTGGAATGGCAGCCAGAACCGCCGGAAGCGTCACGATCGCCGCAGAGCCACCCAGAGCGGCTCCGGCTTCGATGACCGACGATACGGCCCATCTGCCTACCAACGCCCAGCTCTCACCATCAACTCCCATGCTGCCTCCATCCCCTACGCTAGGCATGGCATATCTTCGCCCGTGTCCCCTGCCTTCTACACCCACGGCCACGGCTACTACCAGCTCGAGTCACCTCTTCCATCTCCAAACTCTACCTCGTCCCCTGGAAGTGACGGTCTCGATGGCGAGGCATCTACAGTGTCGGACACTGCCTCCAGCTACACTACATCTCCTCAGTGCCTGTCGCGGGGTAATTCGCCATCCATCCAACTGGCACCTCTCCGCATGGACGACAATTCGGCCCCACGCTCTCTGCCTTCCTTTGGCAGTCTCCTCCATGCACCGGGTGATAGCAAAGAAGCCGGACACATGCGTCTGCCTTCCATCACATCTCACCTCTTGACAGCACCCAACTCGCCTGTGGGGACCATCGTTCAACAGGTGCCACCTCCGACTTCGCCGTCCGCCGCGGATAAAGATTCCAGGATGGACGTCTCTGCGCTGCTTGGATAAGCACCCGTTTCCTTTTCTCTACAATTTTGCCTTTTAGGAGCAACGTTGCCATGTCTGCTGCTCTACTGTACCAACAAACAAACAACAAAAAATTTTGCGGTTCTAAACGCGCAACTATATACTGGGAGGAATATGCGATCACAGCGCGTCAAAAAGGCGACTTGTATTTTTCTTCTTCGTTCATCTTCAAAACCCCAGCGAGGGGATGGCGCATTTGGGAGACCTGATATATGAAGAAGGTCTGGCATGGGATGGCGGCGGGATGGCAGAGGTTCGGGAGGGGGGATCTCCCCATTATTCCTCTTGGTTTAGCTCTATATCACCGCACAAGCTGCGAAAATTACCAATAATCAAACCCGTTCACAACGCTTCAACATCTAATTGTATAAACCTTGTGAATCTTGGCGGTGGCTTCGCTACCCGGTCGTGCCTACACCACAGTCTCGCCCAGAGCTGCGGCAGCGCCACAGCAGGTGGTCGGACTGTGGGAGGCATGGCTGTTGCTCCCACATTCGCAGCCCTGTTAGCTATAATGGGACGGGTGAGTAATGTTGTGGCCTTGGGCCGAAAAGCAGAGACAAGGGTGGTTCCTCCCATCCGTTCCCGTCCAGGAGGAGCTGAATCCAACCGTCAAAGGGAACTAGAGTCTGTAGCTATATTGGTTTTATTTAAGCACTTCTAGATTTATCGGGCGTCGGTCCAGAAATCAGCGTGGGCGCAAAAATGACAGACAGCACAAAGTGAGGTGAGTTGAGCCAAGGCAGGGAGGCAGACTCGAATTAGGGTGGCTCAAGATACGTCGTATAAGAGAGTTTTGTCATTACTAAGTGAAGTCGCACCTGCGCCGGAGTTTGCACTGTGGGGGAGAGGTACAACAGCGTAGCAATGAGGGAAACCCCAGGAAAAAGGAAGGGGACTTTGGTTCTTACTATTATTATTTCACCTTTTAATTGATTTTATTATTATTTCTGAGGGTCGGACGGCTGAGGTGCGCACTGAGCCTCTGCAGAATTTGCAGCGGTGGTGAACATGGCTCAGGCTCAGGTGTTGCTGTTAAGTGCGCTAGACAGGGACATGAGGTGAAGATGAGGCGGAGGACAGAGCGTCCAGGGCCAACCCTCGCAGCCAAACACGAGAAGGAGAGAGTTGCTGCAGATGGGCGGGTGGTGTACCGCTGTCGATCATGACGAGGATCATGGACACGGATGGGGCATATGGAAGACGCGATGTGCGGAGGGGCGGAGGGAACAAAGAAGCGAGGGGGGATCGTGGGTCGTGTATGTACCCTACAATGATGCCCTCGGCGGTGCGGACAAAGCCAGTGGCTCGGGTGAACAGTCAAATGCCATGATGCCTTCATGGTTGCAAACCAAAAATGGATACTGGGATACAGACGCTAACCTGCATGCTTAGAGACTCTTTCTTTCCAAGGACATAAGTTTAGCCAATGCAAGGCGATTCAGATAATTAAGCTGAGGCAGGACCCGATGGGGTCCTGAGTTCAGCAGTGATTGAAATGGAGAAACAACGGTGGGGGGGAAGCAGGCCACTCACGATGGCCCCGCCGCTGCCCCCGTTTCCTCGCTGCTGAAAAGTCAAATAAAGATGCTCAATTTAAGGTAAAAAGACGCGAACATCCCGCGTAGCACGGCCAACTCGTGTGCACTAAAGCTGAGGCACAGCTAGGAGCCTCGGTTGGTGATGAGGTGGGTTAAGGTGTTGCTCCCCTTCCCTCACCTGTCGCCGCACCGGTAATTGTCTCCAGTGTCCCCGTTGCGACTGATACGTACCGTACCTGCTCCACATGAACCCTCCAAAGCACCCACCTAGGCAAGGGGTACCTTTGGGTGGGGGAAACAGACAGAAGTGACGTGGGCCAAAGTATCTTTCCCATCCTTCCCGTATGCCTCTGTCTGTCTGTCTGCCTCTGCCTGCTCCGTCCCTATCTGTTCCCTCTTGCAGCATCCCACCTCGCCCAAATCCGAGCACAATCTGACGTTAATCAGCTCTCTTCAAACCACGAGATGATTAGTCCGATGAGAAGAATCTGTGACAATTTTTCAAACTGCGCAGCAGGCATGCTCTGATCAAAATAGCTGGGCACGGACATGGACACGGCCACGACAGGCATGACAAACGACATCCGTCAATCAAATCAGTCAGCCGAACCAACCGCACTGACATCGACATTTCCCAACGCTCTTGCTGCTCATGTTCTTACACCTGCTGCCGAGGACCCGCACTGCATCATCGTCCAATCTCCAATATTCAGCACCATCATCCTCCTCGTCGTTCTTTCGATCGCATTCGCACCGCACAAGCACGCGCACGCCCATGCATACCCTTACAAGGACGGGTTGAAATATCCAAGAGTCCAACTGCCCGTGGATGGAGATGCCCAAAGAGGGTTCAAGGACTCGAATACCCTGAGACTAGTCGGTCGTTTGTGGAAGCTGAAAGTAGGTATCGTGCAAAACCAGGTACGCCGTGATCCCCCGCCAGACCCTGGTCTCCCACCTTCGGCATGTTCGTATCCCGTAGCCGATCCCTGGTAGGATAAGCGGATGGCAGCGAATTGGCACCGAGGCCGTGCTGATGGGATCGAACAGGATCTGCAGTCCCCCTGAACATGAGAGACACATCCCGACCGGGATGTCCCAGCCAGCTAGGCTCCATGCTGTACTACGGTACGTAGTATTGTCGCTGGTCGACCTGCACTTGCATGTCCCAAGCCCTACCATCATGCATGTCGTCGAGGCGGCTGGACGGCCAAAAGAATCAACAAAAGGAAGCATGATATTAAGCCCGCAGAGCAGGCAGGGTAGACAGAGAATCTCTGGTCAATCAATCAACCAACCAGGCCCAATGCTAGACAAGGCATATAGGGCGAACGAAGCAAACAATGTCATCAAGAAGCAAGGAAAAAATCCCGACCAATCGTCATTTGTCAATCCATCATACCAACCCATGCCCTGTCCTGTCTTCCACGCCTACCGCAGATCTGTATAGTAATTCACCCATGGATGATGCCGAATCCTTTGTGGTTGCCTCAGCCAATCAACACGTCAAAGATTGCGAGAAGCGTTGTCACCCGAAGCGCCGAAGCAGCTACCAAGTCACCGTCGACCGTTTCATAAACAACGACGGCACCGGTGCTGGACCGGGCCTGGGCCTGGCCTGTCCAATCCAACTCAACGCCAACCAAGACATCTCATGCTCAGAGTCAGGCTCAAGCCTATCAGAACTCATCAGACCAAACTAGATCCGACCACACGAGCCATTTCCGACCACTGGAGAAAAAAAGACGGTTGACCGTTCGCGCAGCCAACTCCAGCACCAGCACTGCAGCGTGTCCCTCGAGATTTATCGTCATCGCCAATGGTGCATTCGTTCCAAGACAAACGGTGCTCTGCAGATCGGCCGCCGCTCTTCCTGTACTCCCACCCCCTACGAATATTCATAGGCCCCTTGTCGTCATTGCCGTCATTGGCCCGGCTTCAGCTGCACCGTCATCGTTTGCATTACTGCCGGCGTGTTCCGTCGACTCGCATCTCGGTGGGTGGCAGCGATACAAAGGGGAGAGAAAGGGAGAAACTCAATTGCTAGATCCCTCCAGTCTTCCACAGCGAAGCCGAATACATACAAAGGTGCTGCTTTTTCGTACGTGCGTACCGTACGGGCGAAATTGGGTTATCGAAGACTCCACCTGACGAGAGGAAAATAAACTACGGGCGGATGTTGAAACAAAAACAAGATATCAAGGGCATCACAACTCACGGCCCGCGCAAAACAAACCCTAGGCCAGGGGTCGGCATCTGAAAGACCTCCCTAGCGAAATGATTCCACATCACATCGATGCACGACGATCATCTGGGTTACAGGGCCCGGTATCGATGTGAAGTCGGTGGAGAGTTTTGCTGGAAGAGGGGGGGATCTAGGCTGTTCTGGGCCGTTGCTGCGACGCTGTGAAATACTGGTGTTGACGATCATCCCCGGGAGGGTTAGATGGGTTTGGTGGTCGATGAGGAAACGCGGACGGGAAAGGAGGGATGGTAGGCCGACGAATAGCAAGAGACATGGGTGCCATTACGGCTTGCCTGACCGACCGACAGAGACGGGGGGTTCAAGAGAAACGATGTGAGGATGGATCTCAGATCCCATTTCGCCTGGGCTGTGTTGTTGGGTGCGACGCGCAGGCTGCGGTACCAACGACCTTTAGGTTGACATGGGTATGGAACATGTTCGCCCCATCTCCGGCGCCCCGGGCCAATTGGCTCCCATTGATCAACGGTCGGGCCAGAGAGAAACGAGAGAGGGAAGGTGAAATTCGACAAGGATTGTCCCAGCTTTGCCGGCGGGAAGCCTCACAAGCAGGGGGTAAGGTGGACCTTGACCTGGCACGCAATTCATTGAGCGTAAGCAAAGTGCATCCGGTTTATGGGGACGGGATCTAGAGCTCCGTTCCTTCCAATTCCCACGTTGGTTTGGGAGCTTTGGGTTGACATCTGAGTGGGATTTGAGAAGTTCTGAATCCCTGCCTGACCACAAAGTGATCTTGACATACGCGACAAGGGGTGGGGAGTTGAGACTTGGAAGAAACAGCAGCAAGCAAGCAATCAACCAATCAGAGAAGCTCGTCCCAATCCCAATCTCAATCTCAGCCCAAGAACGGGGGGTAACAAAACCCGACACCCATCCACCAGCCCACCCGCCCGTCTGGATGCATCATTCGGTGCTCCGCAACCGCAGCATTATATCGAGATTACAACGTGCCAGCCAACCAGCCAGCCACTCAGCCCTTCAGCCGTTATACAGTTGCCTGCTGTCTTTCGCCCCTGGACTGAGTCACCTGTTTGTCTAAGACATGAAGCTAGGCCAGGACCAGGTAGGTAAGGTATTTGCATTTAGGTATCCGTACGTAAGGTAATGTGAAGGTGCAAGCAACGCATGGTACTGGCAAGACAAGCGAAATTTCCCAATGCAGTGGTGCACGCCGTTGT